CACATGTGGTTCTCTCTACCCTCCGCAGGATCTCACCTTCTCACTATTCTGTGTTTGTGACGCAGCAAGCTCCCCACAACGGGTCCAGCTCCGATACTTCTGCCTTTGTGCCTCTGTGCTTTTTCATCCTGGTAAATTCTTGCTCACATCGAATCCCTACCTTCATGCCATCTTTTCTTCATTACCAGGGATAATCCTTTCCTCCTCTGGATAAATTTTGCACAGATGTTTGATATACTATTCATTGCCTTGTGTTACCAAAATTTCTTACTCCCTACCCTGGTGCCTGGCGTGTGACTGTCAATGAATTTTCAAATTGGTTGGTTCAGTTCAGTGACAAGTTTCAATATAAAACAAGTTCCAGATTTAAGTCTATGACCATATGAGTTTTTATTTTACCCCTAATTTATACACTGTATATCATACGACGGTGGCTTTTAGCAATAACTGTGAGCAATGCTGATTCAATATGGAACTCCTCTCTTCTCTCTTCCCTTCCAGTACCTTCACCACACTAAAGACAAGAGATTTCAAAAAATCTAATCGGAGCTTGTCTCCCTCCTGTCTCAACTTCTTCAGTGGCTCTCTCTTATTCTGTCACTGAAGTCAAAATAGTTGGCAAGCCAATGGGATGTGCCATCTGACTTTACACCATGCTGTTCTTGACCATCAGGCTCAGACACCTTGACTGCGGTGCCACAAACAGACTCAATTCCTGCCCACCTATCTCTTTCACAAGTGCTGTTCCCTGTTTTGGAATGGTTCTCTACCCCCCCTCCCTCCAACACCTCTTCACTTGGGTAATAACAATTACAATTTCATGTCAAGTTCAATGCCACTTCTTCAGAAAGAACACCCCTGATGCTGTCACTGACTGTGGTTACCTGGCATCGTCAGGCCTTCAGTATGTATGTGCAGATTGTACACCAGCCACATGTACAATTTCTCACAGGATATTTATACTCCAAAGAAGTCTAACTTAAATATTTGTGATGACAACTTACCCACAAGTGTATGTAACATGTCTCCAAGAGGCAGAACTGTTTTGAAATGTGCACAAACTTGATGCATTGACTGTCACTCTGATTTATTTTTTTCTTCTTAAAACTTTGCCTATATAACGGAGACCAGAGTTGCCTTTATTTAATTTTTAATTAATTATTCATAAAATTTTGAACATTTAGATTCTCTCTCTCATGCCTGAGTGCACATTCCCTTTGAGAAGAGATTGACTTTGTCTTGGTTGTTGTTTCAACTGCACGGCCTGCCTTTAATTCTGCCACTTGGGTCCAGTTAGCAATATGTGTTGAGACTGGCTGCGTCCTGGCTTAGTGTCCTATGGTGGCTGAACCTGGGGTCTTAAGCAAACAGGGCTGCTCCTTTCAACTTGACACACATTTGCGTCTGTCCACAGAGCCACAAGAAAACAAATAAATCATGGTTGGCTGGTGAGTTATTTAGTCATCTGACAGAAATGCCAGAGCTGCTCAGCACCTAAGATGCTTTGTAACATTAACCAATAAAAATCTGTCTACATTTTTTGCTTTTTAAAATGCTTTCCTTGTAGTTAGAATCTATTTGTATCGAGTAGAATGGCAAGCAGATATAAGTCCTAGTGAGTTTATCATCCAGGATCTATATCAGTATATAATAGTGCATAGCATTTTAGTAGTTTATCTGACACCACAGAAACAGCCACACTTAGCAAACTCAGAGACTCTGGCGGGTTCCCCTGGCAACTAGAGTCGCTTCAAGGCATCTCAATGCTCTGCTCATGTTGACTTCAGTTTATTTTGGCCATTAGTTTGGTTAAGAAAAAGGGAGAAAATTAGGGGTACATAAATTAAACAAAACCACTTTTATTATAATCAGTGTTATTTTATCTTCAAAAGACTATCTCAACTAGTAGGGTTTTCTTTACCAATGATCAGCATTAGGACATCTTCTTACATTTTAGAAGTCCTGGCTGAGTTCTGCATCCTACTTTAGTAATAGAAATATATTCCAGAGAAACCCTTTCATACTCATTGTGTACAGTCTGTCTTCTCTATACATGATTGCTATATCTGTGGATCAACCAACTGCAGATTGAAAAATACATACATATTAAATTGTGGTTTTACTAAACACGTACAGACTTTTTATTTCTTGTCTTTATTCCCTGAAACAATACAGTCTGTTTGCATAGCAGTTGTATTACGTCTAATATATGTCAAATATAATGTCATCTAAAAATGACTTAAAGCTTAGAAGAGGGCATGGCTTATATACAAATACTATGCCATTTTATATAAGGGTCTTAAGCACCTTTGATTTTGATATCTGTGGAGGTTCTGGAACATATCTTCAGAGAATACTGAGGGACAACTATATACATGAGAAAAGGAGATAGAATTTAAATTGTTAGAATTGTATTGTCCGACTCTTAGAATTTTTTACAATTTTAAAACTTTATCTAAATCATTTAAAGTAGTACATTTTCCTTTCTTCTTTTCTTTGTTAAATACCTCCCTCCTAAATTTGTTTTGTGCTTGGGGCATAGGGGGTCTGCATTTGTCTCCTTATATAAAATAGTTCTGTTCAATAGGCACAAGGCAAGAACCTATTGAACATACATGTTTGTACATCTGGAACATATGAGTTTGAACCCAGATCTAGCTATGTGAACCACCTATCTGTATGCTAAATAAAGAAAACAACCACTGTGGAAAGTGAGTGCAAAAGGAAGATAGGCACACTTTCAAAAGTGTGTACCACAAAGACAGTTGTGTCTTTAATGCATGAGATCATAGAAAATAGATAAGTAATAGATGAAAAGATACGTGGGTAATTTTGGATTTCCCAATAGTTTTCATTGACAAACTATTTTTACTTTCTTTTCAACTCTAGTACTATTCAGTTTTTGCTAATTCCAAATAAAACGTCTTTGCTTGGCTAGTTTGGTGATAGCATAGGATCATTTTAGCAGGAATTTAGTCTTTATCCATAGAGGGTAAGATTCTGTTTGTCATCTTCCTTATGGAGAAGTCACCCCTAGATACATGGAGGTTCCAGAAGGGCTGATTATTATTCAAAAACATGGTACTTTCCAGTAAGAATTTGTACATAGGCAGGGCACCATGGTGCAGGCTTGTAATCCCAGCAGCTCAGGAGTATCCCCCTCCCCCCCCAAAAAAAAAAGAATTTACAAACAGACTTAAAGGATACAAGATTTAATAATCTTGAAACTCAAAGTTGAAGTGATACCATTGGCCAAAGGGAAGCTTTTCTTTTGCTCTTGGTATCATACTTCTCCAAAGAGTTGTGCATTTTAAGGCTGTGGGAAACTTCTGGTGACCAAATCTCCTTTGGGGTCAGGGTGTCTTGAAAGAACTAGGAGCCCTCTTCTACTGTGAGCTGATGAAGGGAAGATCTGTCGTGCCCATTAGAGTGCTGAGGTGTGATCTTGAACTATGGAAAACAGTTTGTTAGGTTAAGACAGTGAATCCACTTGGGAAATTCACTGCCTAGTCCTTGTTCTCCTATCCCACCTCCAATACCCAATGAGAAAGGGAATGTCCCCACTTTCTTTCCAGATCTTCACCTCAGTGACAGTCCTGGATCCCTGCCTTTGCCCCAGGGCCTCTTTCACCCAGCTGAATCTGGCAGTAATTCTTGGACTGGCACAGTCATACAAGAAATCATGGTGACTGAGTGTCTCTACAGAGGTTAAATTCTGGGCTTAGAGTAAAGAAGGGCAGTGTGATGGCTTCCAGGATTAATGTAGGGGAGACAAACACCATCACCCGCCAGGACCAGGAACGAGGCCTGGGTAAGGACAGTGGTTTGTCTTGGCAGGTAATAACACGCTATACAGTTAGTACCTATAAGATGCAGTTTAGGTGCAGCCTGCCACTCCAATTGAGGCAGACTGAAAGTTACAAAATGCACAGGCAATTCTAAGTATGCACCTGAAAACATTGATATTTTACGACCTGGTCTTATTCTAACTGGATTATTTCACAACTTTATATGACTCGCTCAAACAAACAAAATACAGATAAAATTACCATAGCTTTTCTCATTTTTTTTTTGAAAAAAAAAGATGTGTCAGACAATAAATTCTAAACACATTATGAATTATCCAGATGAACACTGGCACTACATAAGCATGCCTCTTCCTATTACTGAATGTAAATGACCCAGAGCTCAGACTTAGGTCACTGGGGAGGCTTTAGAAGCATTAAAGCAGTGTGTGCCTCTCGCCAGTTAGTGCTCAGGGTGAGTCTGCGGGGCCTCTCCTTGGGCGGCTGGGCTGGTGGGGGGCGGGGGGGATAGCTCCGAGTGGGCGGGGCCGAGCGCGATGGGCGGGCCTCGGGCGGGAGCCAGAGCCCAGCTCTCAGCCAGCGGGTACCCAGCGCCTGGCTTCATCCTACCTGCTTCCAGTCTCTCTAAACTGCCTCCAGTAGTGGGAGCCCCGCACTGAGCAGTACAGACCAGGACCGTGTTTGGCAAAACTCGCTCTACTCAGAGCGTCAGAGGGGTCCAAGAGCCAGTGACGCCGGGCGACAGGTGCACACAGATCCCGAAGGCTGAGCCAGACCTGGGAACGCGCGGTTCCACCGCGACTACTTCGTTTGCCACTGGGAACAAGAGGTGAGCTTTGGGCTTAGGAGGCGCAGTCCCAGCTAGGACTCTGTGCTCTGGGCGGGAGGGGGTGGGGGTCCCTTGTCCTTGGAACTCAGATCAGCAGTCTGCGGACAGTTCTACCAGTGGACAGTACCTAGGAATTGGCGGGGGTCATCTTAGAAGCGAGTTCTCTCCACCCCTGCGGGTCATCAAGAGGGGCGTCAGCTGACTGGGAAGGCAGCGAGGTCGGTCCTCCCCATCCCGCCCCCCGGGGGAATGTGCGACGGGTTGAGCATCCAGGGGCTGCTGGTCTCCAGCGCTGCCAGCCTCTGAGCGCTGGCCCCCGCGCGGGCAAAGTTTGCCCGTCCGGGTCCAACGTGTCCTCTCGCTTCCACAGCCGCGCAGGTGCCACCTTTCCTCGACCTCCAGCTGCAGCCTCCCCGCGATGGAGTCACCGGTCCAGATCTTCCGTGGGGAGCCAGGCCCCACCTGCGCCCCCAGCGCCTGCCTGCTCCCCAACAGCAGCGCTTGGTTCCCCGGCTGGGCCGAGTCAGGCAACGGCAGCGCCGGCTCCGAGGAAGCTCAGCTGGAGCCCGCGCACATCTCCCCCGCCATCCCCGTCATCATCACCGCGGTCTACTCGGTGGTGTTCGTCGTGGGCTTGGTGGGCAACTCGCTGGTAATGTTCGTGATCATCAGGTGAGCACCTGGGTCAGGGCGTGGCGGAGACAGGACGAGGCAGGGAGGGAAGCAGCGGGATCCTGGAGCAGCCAGCCTGGTGGTGGGGGACTCCTCTGTGCAGGGTTCAGGAGATTCTGAGAGGGTTGTTTCTTAAAACAGGCGAAGGATTTCCTAGGAGAGCTTTTAGTGGGGGACTGCAGGCCTGAAGCGCCTCCAGGATTTAAGAGAGACCTACCCCACTCCCCATCCCAGGGCACCAAAACCCTCTGAAAACAGTGTGTGTGAAGGTACCAAGGTTCAGACTGTATGGTCAATGTCTCTTGATCAAGAAGCCAGATCATTTTCGTGGCATTTTACCTGGTTGCCTGCTCCAGTTTGCAGCACTTTGTTTGCCCTTTAAATATTTCTTAAGATGAATTTCAGGCCCCTCAAGTGCACTGAAGGCAATTCAGAATTTTCTGTGACTCATCAGACTGATGTTATGGTTTATGAAACAAACAAACAAAGCCTGATATTCTATTTAAGGTTATAATACTCCATATAGGAGCCTTTTTAGTACTAAAATGCTTCATATCTTTACACTATCAGTGACTTTTGTAAATTAGCCAACTAATATTCATCCTCTAAACTGTGGACTGTGCAGATACTTTTAAAATTGCTTTGCTGTTTCTTCCCCACTATGAGATATTGAAGGTTTTATTTTATTGCTCTTTTGTGGAATTTTGTTGATGTCAACTTCCAATAAAGTTCCAAATATCCACATATGTGCTAAATTTCTGGTAAGTAAACTGATTCTTAATTTTAAATAGACAGAAAAGGGAAAAGATGTACTTTGTTATGTATGCCTTTTGAGATATATGTGCTTCACTTTCTCAAGACAAAATGCTGAGGAAATACACCTTGGAGAGTGTATAAGGAAGCTTACATTCCTTCCTGTTGTCCCTAAAAATGGAGGAGGCAAGTTGCCCTGATTAAGGACATCGAAAGGATGAAGAACTAATTATTTCTTCTTCCTCCTCCTCTTCTTCTTCTCTTCTTCTTATTCCCATTCCCCTTCTCCTTCTTCTTTTCTTCATCTTCATGTTGACTTTAGTTTTGAGGCAGAGCCTTTAATTGTGAACTTTAAAAACAATATCTACAGTAGCATGAATCTTTCTCCTGGAAAGTCACCATAATTAAATTTCCTCTTTATCTTTTTGGTGGGGAGGGAGCTTTGAAATGTCAGGTCTTTTATCTCCAACTATACTCAGAAGTTAAAAATCATTAGTTAAGCCTTTAAATCCATATTATAAAGCTCACTTTACAGTTAGAATCTGTAGCATGCTACCCTTAGTTTCCACATTGCTTATCGCATTTCACAGCAATTTCTATGTGATGAGTAAAGAATATGAGAAAATATGTTAAAGAAAAATCATTGGTCCAAGTCATTAGTAATTTCAGGACTGGTTTCCATTCAAAGAGAAAATTACACAAAAGAACAGACAACTGTATTCTACACTGTAATTAAAAATTTTAGGAGATCTTTGTATAGAGGTCCATTTTTTTTTTTTTTTTTGGTAATGAAACATTGTTATACAAAAAGAGGACTCTGACAAACACATCTCCTCTGTTTCTACTCATGTCATATTAAGTGCTTAAGTGAAACAGATATATCTTATTGCTACTCCAATGAGTACCTGAAATCTTGAGTTTGAAAAGAGCTTCCTAGCTGCTCTTCAATGTTTTAAATGGCTGTAGACTAGAATTAAAAAGAATGGAGAATCCTAAAGCAGCACTTAGATGCTCTGTGCAAAGACAGACATGTTGGGAGGAAGAAAGGAATTCTTGCAGATTACATAGGACTTTATTGGATAGACTTCCCAAAGATAGCCAGTATTAAAATTTGTTAGATGGAGATAAATTCAGCTAAAAATATTTTAAAAAGTAGTTCACAGAACAATGTCATCCAGTCTCCTACCACATTCTCATTATTTAGAGGTTAAGTATGACAATAAATGAAAATGAAGTGTTACACTGCTACCCTGGAAATCCAGGTATGACAGTTCACTTAAATTCATAGCCAAAAGGGTAAAAATAAGTTTTTAGAATTTGTTCATGCTGAGAGATGATTCAAGAATTGAAAAATAAAACCTTTGAAGAAAAGGTGATGGGCTTGGGTTTACTTAGCTCAGGAGAAGAATAGGATGATGATTCAAGAGAGGGCAACAAGAAGGAGGTCTGATATGCTTTTCAGGACTGAGCCAAGTCAAGTGTGGAATCCACATGCCATTCTTCTAATGGAAATTGGGGGCTTGACTACTTTGCTTGAAAAGATGGAGGATCGCTTTTGAGAAAGACACTGCTTTAAGATATTATACATGGAAAAAGTTCCTAGTGTAACTTAGTCTTAAAGAAAATCCTTTTAGAGGTGACAATTAGATGCTTAAATGAAGGGCAGTTTATAGGTCTAGGATGGACAGCTCCAACTTGGGGAGAAAATCAGAACTGTGGAACTACAGCTTTGGAAAACTAGAGCTTGATGACTATTTTTAGACCTACCTTACAGATAGTTTTTCCCACCTTGGGCACCTGGGAATGCTGCCCAGTATCTTCTGAAGATATTTAAAGTTTCAAGGGTTCTCATCATTTACTGTGCACCAACAATCATGACCCACTAATGTTAGGGCACATCAACATTTCACTGTGAAAACCCTAAAATCTATGTACTCCAGCCTCTTCCCCTTGCCAGACTTTGGGAGCTGTGATCCTTGGATGTGCCCTTGGATATGCTTCGCAGGTTCCTAGTGCCATGTTAAACTTTAGTAAACACTCTTGTCCAGCACACCTGTACTCTGGAACTTGGCAGGCAGCCCTACATCTGACATCTTAAACATCCAATCTCCTACCTTTACCACAACTTTCCAAGCTTAACAAATGTCTCCTGCATTAACAAGGATGATTAAAATTTAATAAATGCTTAATATGTGTCATATAGGAAAATCTATCTACTTCATGGGAATTATTTTATTTAATCTTAATAGCAATAGATATATTATTACAATGCCCATTTAACAAATTAGAAGACCAAAGCAAGGGCAGATTAAACAAACTAAGGTCACTCTTGTTTTTCTATGTCCCTATCCTATTTTCTAACATGAGCCAATTTCTTCTCCCATTTCCTATAAAAATGGAAGCCAGAATTAAATATGCACTGGCTCCCAAACTTTTCATCTGACTATATTTTCTTTTAACAGTTAATAAATGACCTTAACCAGTAGGTCACTGAGGGAGGAGAATTCAGTTTCTGTGGTCTCTTCTCCTGTGCATATTGATATCTACTCTCTCTACATTCTGTTCCATCTCAGGGGAAGAACTTCTTTATTTCTATACCAGTTCCTGTGTTTTGACCCTCATATCCTCTGGAGGCTTTGCTATACAGTTATCTCCTTTTACTCTTCCTGTCCACTGTCTCTTGTCCATTCAGCACATTAACATGCTCAATATCCACCAACCCTCCATTTTTCTGAGTTCCTCTAGCTAATGTCCTTTATCAACCTGTGTGTTGCAATAGCTGACTTCTTGGAGGAATAATCTATCTTTTTGGTTTCATTTTCTTCCCCATTCCTCTTTTTCCTGGTTCCACTTAGTTGCTTTGCTTGAGACTCCTGTACTAAAGTTATGGCTTTATGTTTCAGAGGCTTGTTGGAGTTTGGTTGGTGCCTGACATCTGTGGAGGTCTGGCATGCTTTGCCCAACCTTGGGTTTCTCTGAAAACCCTCATTCCTCAGTTTCCCCCTCATCTTCTGGGCTTCTCTTCACATATTCCTCTTCCTCTGATGTTTTTCCTAGGGTCTTCTCAGCTGTCTTATGTCCCACTTGACATATTCTTTGTATTAGTCAAGGCTCAACCAGATAAGCAGAACCAGTAGTGGACATACATGCTAAGAGATGTCTTGCAAGGAATTGTGTTACATGGTTGTGGAGCTAGCTGGCTGGGCACATCCAAAATCCATAAAGGACAGGCTGCAGAAAGCTGGAAAGGACAGGCTAATATCCCCAAGTAGAATTTCTTCCCCAGCAAACCCCAATTCTGCTCATAAGGTTTATACATCAAGCCCACTTAGATGATCTAAGATGATCTCCCTATGGTCTAGAATGATCTCAGCTAATTATGTCCTTTAATCACTTCTAGAAAACACCTTCACAGCAACACTCAAATAGGTGTTTGAAGACCTAGTCACGGACTGGCTGAGAGGATACAGCAGACTGTCCATTACACCCCCTTTCAATGGCTTGGTCCATTCTTGTGACTTTAACTGTCAGCTACATTCTGACAAACCCTAAATCCAATCTCTGTCTCCCAGTTATCCATCCCTTCTGCAGACTCAACTAACTTCCTTTCTGGATGACTCTATGTGATGATCTCACTAGCATCTTGGGTTTCTAGAACATCTGCCTACCCTGGTCTGCAAGGACTGAACTTACCAAGTGCCACAGACTGGGTGGCTTAAATAGCAGAAAGTCATTGTCTCAGTTTTGGATGCCAAAGTCTAAGGTCAAGGTATGCACTGGGGTGGCCTTCTCTGAGTTCTGCTTTTTGCTTATAGATGTCTATCTTCTCCCTGTGTCCTAATATGGTCTCTCTGTACACAGTTGTATCCAAATCTCCACTTTTTATAAAGGCAACAATAATATCAGATTAGGACATACCAAGATGTCCTCATTTGACCTTATTTACTTCTTTGGAGGCCCTGTCTCTGAGGTATTAGTGACTAGGACATTAACATGGTAATTTGGGGAGGACACAGCTCAACCCAAACACAACCCCTTCTCCCTCTATTCTCCTTAAGAGAACACTCTTCTCAAGCTTCAAATTCCATAATGTTATGTTTATTTTTGTTTAATTTAGAGGAAAGCTATACTTCTGTAAAGGTGTATGAATAAACAAGGAAATTTTTACTAAAAAAAACCAGGATCATAAAATTCTTTGATTATTGGTCATAAGTTTTGCCTTTCCCATTTCTCATTAGTTTCCACTA